AAAAATATTATAAATTATATTAATTATAAAATAAAGTAATAGTGTTATATTATATTTTAAAAATATTAATTATTATATTTTAAATATATTTATTAAAATATTATTAGATTATTATATTAATATTAAATATAAAAATAATATTATTCATTATTAATAATTTAATAATATTATTTCAATGAAATTAAAAATTAATATCAATTTGATTAATAGTTTATTATATATTATTAAAATAAAAATATAATATCTTATATTATTATAATATAATTTATTATTTTATTATAATATTAAAAATATAATATTATATTATTAGAAATATTAATAAATATATTTTAAATGTTTTAATAATTAATATTTTGATTAAAATGATATTAGAATATTTTATTAATATTAAATTCATAAAATAAAATTATTTTGAGTATTTATTCTTTCAAGTATAAAGTTCGGAAAATCAGACCGTAAGTCATTTTCTACAAAACACAAAGGAAATTCTTTTGACCAAGAAAATGTTTTACGTTGACCAACCAATTTTCCTCCAACCAAACACTGGAAAATGAGGAAAACATTTTTCGAAAAACGTTTTACGTGAAACAAACGGACCCTAAATACTAACTTGCAATCATTGTTTCGAAACTCTTCTTGTAATATTGAAACGCCTAAAACATGTTTGAAAATATAAATCGTTGGAGACACAAAAGTATCGATATTGGCACATGTGTTTTGGAAACTCACAGACGGGCATTGAAACTCTTGAATGTTGGGAAAGCCTCTCTTGATGTTCTTGAGCTACTATGCGGTCCTTTTTATATACTCTAAGTGATTTCTAGTCGTTTGGAGAAGTTGGAGGTAGCTTCTAGCCATTTTAAGCATGAAATTCATGATTTAAATACTCAATTGCAACCATAGTTTTGAAACTCTTCTTGGAGAATCGAAACTCCTAAAACATGTTTGAAAATATCAATCGTTGGAGGCCCAGAGTATAGATACTAGAACATGAGCTTTGGAATCTCACATACGGTATCAAAATCCAACATTGGTTTTCAAAACTCTTAAGCACTATGGAATGGAAGTTCTAAAACTAGTATAAGAGTTTCGAAACACTTAGGAGAAATTTTAAAACTTCACACTTAGTTTTGAAATCTAAGGCTCAAGTTTTCACATTTTAGGGTGTTTTTGGCTCTTTAAAAAATTTTAAGTTGGATATTTAAGCCAAAACACAAAGAAAATATTTTTGACATAATTCTTCTTTACAAAAATGATTTGAATAATTTTTGCAAAAATTTCATAGCAAATTTGCAATTTCTACAATATAGTAAGGGGTCGTTCTTATTTGCTTGCTTCTGAAATATACGAAGTAGATTGTTATTTTTTAGAATGATAAAATCAGTTAATTGATGGGGGAAAAATATATTAAATACAATATTTTGGTTCAAGTAACTATAGATTAACATTTTGGACTAAACTATTCAGTTTTCTAAACATACTGGGACTAAAATGTCCCTTTGAATAATAGGGAGACAAAAAAATTGGAGTAAAAGAGCTTCTAATAGAATTTAACTATTAGTAACTTGAAATGAGTATTAAAACTAATAATATTTTGATGCTGTAACAAGTGGGTTTGTAACTAATATTAATTTGTTGAATGCAAATATGAAATAACATGTGGTTGAAGTTGTTGATCGTGTAACCATGAAGAGAATGGCATTGGCAGAGATTGATTATCTGCAATGAAACTGCTTTATGTGAGAATCGCCTTTAAAACCAACGACCTTGAACATTAGAAAGCATACCTTTCTCGGCCTTTTGGCTAAGATAAGTGTAGTATCTGTTCTTATCAATTTAATATCTAATACGTGGGCCAATGTCCACACGATATTAAATTTATTTTTTGAGGGGAGGGTCCACCATAGTAGCTTGCTACTGGGACTCTCGAGCGTCGCCCTAGCGTTGCACTATTGCTCGGGCCTGGCGCTCCCCACCCAATCCAAAGTTTAATGTTTCTATTCCGTTATTTGATTATGAAAACCATGCCTCCTTAGTTATTGTTAAAACTTTGTTCTGGTAATTTAACTTCTAAATTATTTCCTTTTTAGTTATTGTAGTTTTTAAACCATGTAACTTTCTACGCTCAATATGATTGTCCCCTTAGTTTTAGAATCATTTCATTATGTCACCATGATACCTTAATATTGGTGGTTGAATTATCAAATTTATGTGTCACGAGGGCAGTCCGACCTTGTTACCAACTGTTACATTAGTCAATGGTACAGAATCATTGCTAAAAATCTCATTCGATTCATCACTACAACCAATAAATTTTATCGACAACTCATATAGACACTTTTCGTGCCACTATAACAACTAGTGTTGCACATGTATTTAAACCTTCCATGTACCATATCATATATCATATCATACCACATATAGGTGCATCAAAAATAGTGGACACAATTTAAAGCAAATGTTGGAAATTTATCGACAAAAGTTCGCGATGCTAATTGTTCAGAAATGACCGATCATGCATCTCTAGAACGTACAAACATTTAATTAACAGAAAGAACATCGACAATAATTACACGAGAACCCATAATAGGGGATTAACCTACTCCTATGTTTCTAAATAAAATAAGGTTTGTGCAAACCCGCACCCGGACCATACACTAACAGAAACAATGAGCAACTAACAACAACCGCTTCAATGCACGACCACCACCAACGAATCTTGAGCTTCAAGAACACATCAGAATGCATAAATAACAACAAAATTGGCTGGAAGTTCAACTTAAATCATGCATAAAAAAGACTCCAAATTTTAGGGTCCGTTTGTTTCACAGAAAATGTTTTCCGTAAAATGAATTACATTTTGTGAAAAATAATTTCTGGAAAACGTTGTACTATGTTTGCAAGATGTTGTTTAAACCATTTTTTCACTAGTTGATGATTTTTTAAAAATTATTTATTACAAATATTAAAAACAATAAATAATATTATTTATCATAAAACTTAATATTATTCTTTATAAAATATTAAAATAATTTACTTATTATTAAAATATTTTTTTTAAAATTTTATTAATAAAAATATTATTATTGGTATATTTTATTGAAATAAAAATATTATAAATTATATTAATTATAAATAAAAGTAATAGTGTTATATTATATTTTAAAAATATTAATTAGTATATTTTAAATATATTTATTAAAATATTATTAGATTATTAGATTAATATTAAATATATAAATAATATTATTCATTATTAATAATTTAATAACACTATTTCTATGATAATATAAATTTTATTAATAGTTTATTATATATTATTAAAATAAAAATATAATATCTTATATTATTATAATATAATTGATTATTTTATTATAATATTAAAAATATAATATTATATTATTATAAATATTAATAAATATATTTTAAATTTTTAATAATTGATATTTTGATTAAAATGATATTAGAATATTTTATTAATTTTAAATTCATAAAATAAAATTATTTTTAGTATTTATTCTTTCAAGTATAAAGTTCGGAAAATGACTTACGGAAAATCAGACCGTAAGTCATTTTCCAGAAAACACAAAGGAAATTTTGTTGATCAGGAAAATGTTTTATGTTGACCAACCAATTTTCCTTCAACCAAACCCTGGAAAATGAGGAAAATATTTTCCGAAAAACGTTTTACGTGAAACAAACGAAACCGAAATACTAACTTGCAACCATTGTTTCGAAACTCTTCTTGTAATATTGAAACGCCTAAAACATGTTTGAAAATATAAATCGTTGGAGGCACAAAAGTATCGATATTGGCACATGTGTTTTGGAAACTCACAGACGGGCATCGAAACTCTTAAATGTTGGGAAAGCCTCTCTTGATGTTCTTGAGCTACTATGCGGTCCTTTTTATATACTCTAAGTGATTTCTAGTCGTTTAGAGAAGTTGGAGGTAGCTTCTAGCCATTTTAAGCATGAAGTTCGTGATTTAAACACTCAATTGCAACCATAGTTTTGAAACTCTTCTTGTAGAATCGAAACTCCTAAAACATGTTTGAAAATATCAATCGTTGGAGGCCCAGAGTATAGATATTAGACATGAGCTTTGGAATCTCACATACGGGTATCAAAATCCAACATTGGTTTTCGAAACTCTTAAGCACTATGGAATGGAAGTTCTAAAACCAGTATAAGAGTTTCGAAAAACTTAGGAGAAGTTTTAAAACATCACACTTAGTTTTGAAATCTAAGGCTCAAGTTTTCACATTTTAGGGTGTTTTTGGCTCTTTAAAAAATTTTAAGTTGGATATTTAAGCCGAAACACAAAGAAAATATTTTTGACATAATTCTTCTTTACAAAAATGATTTGAATAATTTTTGCAAAAATTTCATAGCAAATTTGCAATTTCTACAATATAGTAAGGGGTCGTTCTTATTTGCTTGCTTCTGAAATATATACGAAGTAGATTGTTATTTTTTTAGAATGATAAAATCAGTTAATTGATGAGGGAAAAAAGATATTAAATACAATATTTTGGTTCAAGTAACTGTAGATTAACATTTTGGACTAAAAATTCAGTTTTCTAAACATACAGAGACTAAAATGTCCCTTTGAATAATAGAGAGACAAAAAACATTTGATGGAGTAAAAGAGCTTCTAATAGAGTTTAACTTGAAATACACATATGAGTATTAAAACTAATAATATTTTGATGATGTAACAAGTGGGTTTGTAACTGATATTAATGTGATGAATGCAAATATGAAATAACATGTGGTTGAAGTTGTTGATCGTGTAACCGTGAAGATAATGGCATTGGCAGAGATTGATTATCTCCAATGAAACTGCTTTATGCGAGAATCGCCTTTAAAACCAAAGCTGTTTATTTCCAAAAGCAGCTTACAAATGAGATGCTGCATGTAACGTCCCACATGGTTGGGGTACGAAGGGATGCATCGAGAAGCTGCTTATAAAATCAACGGCCTGAACATTTGAAAGCATACCTTTCTTGGCCTTTTGGCTAAGATCAAGTGTAATATCTGTTCTTATTAGTTTAATATCTGATATGTGGGCCCATGGTCCACACGATATTAAATTTATTTTTTGAGGGGAGGGTCCATCATAGTAGCTTGCTACTGGGACTCTTGAGCGTTGCCTTAGCGTTGCACTATTGCTCGGGCCTATGTGTAATTAACACGTGGTTAAATTATGTCCGCAATATCTCATTTTTGTAATCCTTCCATTTTGGTCCCGAAATCAAGTGTTTTGTACCTTTTAATTTTGTGTTCATATTTTAATTATTTTTATTTTAGTCGCTATTATGTTTATATATATATTAAGGTAAAATCGTACATTTAGTCCTTTATATTTTTAGTAGTTTATATTTTAGACTTATTCGTAATAAATTTTAAATTACAATATTAGTACATCGTTCTAGTAGTGTTTAGAATTAGGTAAATTAGTTTACTATTTTATGTGTTAATTATTATTTTAAGATTAATTATAATATTAGCACTTTTGCATATTAGGTTAATTTTAAATCGAACTTATATAGTTTTAACATTAAATATTATAATAGGATTAGTAATATTTTCATTAAATAATATTTAGTATTTATCTATATTAAGTTATTTGTAAATTAAATTAAATTTATAATTTATTGCAAAGACTTTAATTAATAAATACCGGTACCAATTTTGGGCGTTATGAGGGTGCTAATACTTCCCCATACGTAACCGACTCCCGAACTCATTTTTCTGGTAAGCAGACCCGAGTTGTATTATTTTAATATTATTCTTAGGAATTTTATTAGAATAATATAACATTTTGGTGACCAATCTCACCAAATTAAAAGATTGGTGGCGACCCTACAACTTGGTGTTTCATCTGATTCAGGGAGGATAAACACTTATTTTTTCGAGACTAGTTACACACTTTGAGGTGTACTATTTTCACTCTCCGTTGCCGGGCAGAGAAACGTCTCGACAGCTTGGTGACTCTGCTGGGGAATTTAAATGAGAGTCATGCCACCAATTTATTAATTAGTTGTCTTTGCAGTAAATAATAAATTTGTTTTAATTCGTTTTAATTATTTTTATTATTTTACTAACTTTTGTTTTTTATGTGTACAAATTCAATTTTGGGTCATTAGAATAGAATAATATCTTATATATTATTTTATCCTTTTTTATGCTTTTCCTCACCCACTGTGCATTGCATTCATGACATGAGCTAAACCCCCGCTCTTATCCTATTTAAGTGAATGAGAAACTACTCCCTCGTGTGGTTTTCACCTCTGTATAGGATAGGGGACTATTCTTTGAGCTCACACCTTATGTTCCTCGTGTGGTTTTCACCTCCGTATGGACATATGGAAGTGTGTTCCTTCGAATTGAACTTAATCCAAAAGTCTGTAATGGACTATGATTGAGGGTTTGGCAATCCAAGGGGACACCAACAAAGGATAATTCATTGACCCTTTTACCCTAGAGCTAACACCCAACATATAATAAAATCTAGAACTGAATTCTAGGTGAAACCTAACCTTATTGAGTCCTGAAAGGTTATCACACAAGGAAAAGCATGTTGAGTCTTTTATTTATTATTATTTTCTGAATAAATGCACGTGAACTAGAAATCGTGTGGTTAGGTTATTTTTCCAAATAAAGCAAGGAACTAGAAAGCATTAGGTTAGGATGTATATATAATAAATAGGATCTTTCCTTTTTATTAAGTGATACTAACCAGTTTTCGTATATATTATGAGGATGCATATATTAATTATTCTGATTGTATTTGCATAATCATGACATGATCAAGGGTGCTGATTCAAGAGTGATTATCAAAATCAAAGGTTTTCATTATAAACAAAGGGTTTTATGATCAAGTGAATTGCAAAGTAACCAAAGAAAAGTATCTTAAGGAAGCTTTTAAAACAATGGAGGGGTATGCACGTAAAAATCCTGGTAGATTGGTGCCAAAAACATTTTATATTAAGAGCATCAATAGAAGTAGTCACAAGGAAGAAAGTTTTTATGAAGCTCAAGCCCGTTTTTGGAAAGACGAAAACAAGAAATTGAGCACAGAGGTCGAAGCCATGCTTAATGATTTTTGAAAAGTCAGTCAAACCTTTAAAGATGTTGGACTTGGAAATACTCCAGAGGAATGGATGACAGAAATCATTAAACTAAAAAGTGATGCTGATCACTGGAAAATGCTACATGAGGATCAAACAAAGAAATTCTCCTATGACTTTCAAATTGCTGAAGAAATATACAATGCAACCATCACCAATTTGGAAAAATATCAAGCTGAAAACCAGATATTGAAGAAGGATATAGCCAACATGGAAACTTCATATCTGATCCATCAATGTGAGATTAATGCTGAATTAAAATCCACTAGAGCTCAGAACCACATATTGATGAAGATGGTGAATAATTATGGAGATCTAGTACAAGAACTTCTTGAACATAAAGGTTCTCTGATAAAGGAAAATGAGCAATATTGTCTACAACTTCAAGAAATTGCAGGTAAGATTTAAGAAAAAGAAGATGACATGAAGAAAGCTGCTGCTCAAGCAAGTAAGGGAGCCCGCAATTTGGTAGACTTAGTTGGTTTTACAAGAGAGCTGAAGTAGAATGACGATTTGATTCTGGAACATAAATGGAAATTAACTTGGCTTTTAAAGGAAATAGAGAAATTAGGAGGGAAAGTTATCCCTTATATGTAATGATCTTTTGATGTGCTAAAAAACCTCTTTTGTGTTCAATGGAAGCTGTTTTAAGATGACCACTCTTGAGTTACACTCTTTTATACATTTACATTTGTATTTACATTTATGTTCTGCATAGCATAATAACATGTGCCAATCATGAAAATATTGGAATGATCAGTAAAAGATTTTGGAATCAGGAATTCTGAAAGTACACTCGAGAATCAAGGACATGTCTTAAAAAAGATTGAAAGTAATGAATGGAATATTAGTTCGAGTTGGAAAGATTAAAAAAAATCCAAGAACAACTTGTAGAAATCCAACGAAAAATGCTTGAAGAAACAAGAAGGTTCCAAGCTGAGTCCTGGGAACATATATATAAGATGATGGGTATGATGGTTACTCTGCCATATGGGGACAAAATGTTAGAAGACTCTATGGATCACGAAAAGATGAAAGCCTTGGGAAAAAGTCTAGATTTCAATAATGTAGTCAGTGATATGATAACAAATGACCAAGAACCTGTTGTGGAATGTAGAAATCCAACTCAGCTTTATGGGTTTTGGAAATATGACAGAAAACATGGACATTGAAGTTTGTTCAAAAAAGAGAAACATGGAACAAGTCCCATTGAAAATGGATAAAAAGGGCAAGAGGGAAAAAATGATGACATATCCTATTCTAATTCCAATTTCGTATTCAGAGTTATTACCATTTCTCTTTGAAAGTGGTCTTATAACACCCATCTCTCATAGTACTTATTTGCATCCAAATTGGAAAAATATCAAGAATCCATGCAATTATCACTCTGGAGATTTTTGTCACTCTACAGAAAATTTCAGAATGTTGAAATTAAAAGTCCAAGACTTGATGACAGAAGGGTTGTTATGTTTTGAAAATGGGAAACCTAATCTCCTCAAAAATTTAAAACCGGTTGAAAAAGAGAAATTTTTAAGTCATCATCTCTCTCAAGACGATGGTCAAAAGTCAGACATTCAAAGCAAACATTTTCAGGAAAACAATAGTAAAGAAACGATCATATCAAGGGAATCTCTACCCTGCTTTCCTTCGGTCTCATGCAACAAGTTATATGCCAAATTACAGAAAGCCCAGCTTATTGCTCCATGTCTGGCTAAACCTTTGGTACCTCCTTACCCAAGATGGTATAATAAAAAGATCTTTTGTGAGTATTATGCTGGAATCCGAGGACACTCCATTGAAAATTGTGGCAACTTCAAACGACGAGTTCAAGATCTTCTAACTCATAGAATTATAGAAGTGGATGCTAACAATCAAACCATTTTGATCAAACATTTGGGAGTCAACCCTAAAAATAAAGTTGATAGTGTCAAAACAAATGGAGGACAAGGTAAAACCAAGAAAGATGAAGTATGTATGACCGACTTAACTCTTGATACTTCTTTGATGGATGAAATAAAAATAAAAAATGAAAAAGAGAAAGGAAAGATAATTCGAGACTGGCCTACAGGTTTAAGAAGAAATAAGGTAGATACAACCTTAGAGACACCTATATCAGATCTTCTAAAATCAAGAGAAGTAGAGGGAAATTTAAAGAGAAAAAAGAATGCTACTCCAATTACAGCTGCAAGAAACTTCCAGAACCAGAATACAACAATCGCCACTAAAGTAATTTATTCTGAAATTTAAACTGAGCCCAACTGTCAGTCAGGAAAGATGACGATGGGATTTGATCAAGAAATAACTTAGGAGAAAGCTGAGATTTGTGTATCTAAGAAATAATGGGGGGAAAATATCGACAAAGGTCATGTTTTAACTATACACTCGACATCCAAGGAATTAATGGGGTAGTGGAAGTTGTTATCTACCACTATTGTACCTTTCATTTTGTAGCATATTGTTTGAACATGTTTTTGTTCCTTTCTCCGCCACTTTTGTAACAAAAATGTGTTACTTTTAAGGTTATGAGCATTGAATCAATTTTCAATCTTACAGTTATTTGAATATTATTAGATTAAAACTCTTTAGAATTAGAGTTATACATCTTTGACAAAGTATCAAGATCGAAAACTAGTAAAAAAGGGACCTTGACCTTACCTTAGATGAAATATACCCAACATTACACCCTCCCACAAATATGAGAGAGCTTTCTCCAATACAAGGAATTAGACAAAATGCTTGGTATTGATATTTAGAAGTATACAACGTGGGGCATCTTTTGTAACATTGCAAAGTCGACTAGATTACTTTTCTATTAATGAGGTTCGACGATGAAACTTTTTCTAATTTGAGTTAGTTGTTTATAAATTGAAATTAGGTAATGAGATTTTATGAATTCCACCAAACACATAGACTATAACAGGTTCTTTTAAAAAAGGGTAATAGTCATATATGCAGTAAAGCTATCCCTCTAAAGCAATTGGGTAATAGCCTCAACTTTATGGATAAGTTTCAATTAGCCCAATGAAGGCTAATTTCAATAAAGCTGATTTCAGATAGC